CGAGTGGGTCCAGAAGTACGCGACCTAAGCGTCAGAGTTCATGAATCAGCTGATGTTTAGAGTGGAGTTGCAGCATTCGTGGCCTTCTGCGTGGAGCAAAAATTTTGTTTGAGAAAGGATGCAAGTGCATCTGTATGTGGCTAGGTCCCCCACCCCGACACCCCTGTTCCGTCCACGTCTGTCCAACTCCTTTTCAAAAAGCTTCTGTCTCGATCAGCAGCCTTCAGGTGTTGAAGCCATACTGTAGTTATTGGCGGTGCATTCCACAAATCGTCTGTGCTTACACCTACGTTACGGAAAGCACCTGATACCAACAACGGATTCCGTTTTTGTTTCAGTCTGCTGGGTATACCGTCTGTTTTACATACGTATCTGCAAACACATGTTTAGACTTGACGACTTATATACACAAGCATACGGACATACGAACAAACACACATAGGTGCATGCACACATAATTACATGAATGCTTGCATATGGCACACCCGCACCGCATTCCCCGGTGTGGGTTTGGGGCAACATGGCAAGGTCGAGGCACAAAATCGGCGACTGTCATCCACCCACCCACCTGAAAAGAAGACGCCGTTCCATTTGTGCACTAACTGTCGTAGTGATTGCCCCAGTCAATACAGTCGTCGTAATCTTAGTTGTCCATCTCTTTATGCATTGGCGGTGTTGACAGTATGTGAAGACAACCCGACACGTGTTCGCTTCGGCATTCCGCGTCATGGCTCGTCGAGTGCTAGGGAGGCTAAGGGAGCCCAACAGCGGCAATAACACAAGTGGCGGCACGCCATGGCGCTGAAGCGGATCCAGAAGGAGCTACAGGACCTGGGAAACGACCCGCCGGCGAATTGCTCGGCTGGGCCAGTTGGAGACGACCATTTCAACTGGCAAGCGACCATCATGGGCCCACCTGACTGTCCCTACTCTGGCGGCGTGTTCTTCCTGAACATCAACTTCCCGTCCGACTACCCGTTCAAGCCGCCAAAGGTGCACTTCACCACGAAGATCTACCATTGTAACGTAAATTCGAACGGGGCTATCTGCCTTGACATCTTGAAGGATCAGTGGAGTCCAGCATTGACCATCTCGAAGGTCTTGCTGTCCATCTCGTCTTTGCTGACAGACCCGAACCCCAACGACCCGCTAGTGCCGGAGATTGCCCAAGTCTACCTCAAGGACCGGGCCAAGCATGATCAAACAGCGCGCGAGTGGGTCCAGAAGTATGCCACCTGATCGGCCAAGCTCAAATTTTGTAGAGTTCGTCAGTACTTGGTAGACGGCAGGTTGCTTGGGCCAAGCTCGATTCCTTTCTTACCAGCATTTCTTATTGCGCAGCTCCTAGGAGTTTGCGAATACGCCGTAGCTTTTCCAGATTATGTGTGTGGGGTGGTCGAGCGATGAGCCTGCAATGTGCTGCTGTTTCGATGGTGGTTACGTCCATTGGATGCACCAGCCCAGCCACTGCAAAAGATCATTAAAGTCTGAGCGCTGCATCTCCCGCACGTCCTCATGCCCACGTCACGTGGGTGCACCCGCACCCGGAGACAGACACGGACACACGGAAAGACACAGACAGACAGAACCAGGCACAAACACACACACACACACACACACACACGCACACTGTCTCTCTCCTAATCATGGTGTGCCGTGATCTTTTTTATGTTCGCTGTGCAAACTTGCAGAGTATGTCTCGCATTGGAGCAGCGAACTGGAAGGCGCTGCGCCTCTCGGTCACTCAGCGCCTGCAGCAAGCGGCCTCTGAGGCACACTTGTGCAGAGCATTGAGAGAAGTGGATGCTTCCACACGTTTCCTTGTTTGCCCTGTTAAATCACCCCTCCCGCTCAAACTTGAAAGTAATTTTGTATAATTTTGTCATGACTGGACCTCAAGTCGACCACGAGCGGCAAATCGAAGTGCACAGAATGGCGGTGATCCGTGGAATCCGTGGCAACAGCCAGCATAGCCAGCCCACCCATTTCTCCGTTTGTAGCTGATCCCCAAAGCAGAGGTGTGCAGTTTTAATACTGTGCACCGTACAGACATGGAAGCAGGAGTGCGCGCGCATGTGTTTGTGTGTGTGTGTGTGGCGGGTTACTTGTCATTCTATGCCCTGTGATGCCATGCCATGGCAGCGTTTTTGCGGAGAGAGTTAGTGAATATATGAGCAGCCAACCAAACCCGAGCGCATTGAAGAGCATACGATACATTTCAGTATGGCCTACATATGGCGGGGTTTGTCATGATCCGAGAATTTCGAGACTATCCATATGGAGACCCAGCGAGTCTGGTGGGCAAGACAGGAAGACGACAAGTGCCGTTTGCTTTTAATATGTCGTGGGAGCAAAGGGGCTGTATGGTGCACCTTCCCGTGGACACATGGTGCACGCAGGTGGACCTAGCCAAAGCCACGGCCGAGGCAGCCAGCATGGAGGCATGGAGGGAACCCTCTGAGCCACGCAACGGTTGCTTCAGACGGAGCTGTTGCATCAGGCAAGGCACCTGCAAGAAATGGTCATGCGGGCGAAGGCCAGGGTTGATGCCAACGAAGACCAGGGTCTGTCAGCTGCTGTAGCGGCCAGCAGGTGAACCAAAGCTCCAGCCTGTCCGAGTGGGAGGCATACGGGAGCTAAAGCATTCGTTTCGCTAGCCGCTGCCAGTCACAGCTTCGGCGACTCAAGACTTGAGAAAGCACAGCACATGGATTGTTGTGGGTCTCTCCTGAAGCCTCAGGAGTATCCCACGAATCTGCCAGACGTCAGCCACGGTCTTCGCTATCCTACCCCTACTTGTCATTCCGCAGTTCTTGTTATCCGATTCCGATCTTCCTCTAGATCCTTCACTCCAATCCCGGTCCCGGGCGCTGCAGGGATTCCAAACCGACGTTCGTGCCGGGAGCCTGACTTCAAGTGCTCGAACAAACACAAACCGAGTGTACTGGAGAAGCTTTTGAGTAGCTCGTGACAGCTCTTCCGAGGGCTTGTTGGTCGACGGGCCACCGCTGCCTGTTCCGACGATGCCGACTGTCCAGGACTCTGAGGCCACCGGCAGCCTCCCTCCAGGAGCTCTAGACTGTAGCGGCTCTTGCCCTCTTTCAGGCCTATGCTGAGATGGCCGAAGCCCTCGATGAGATAAAGAGGCCAATGTCATCGCTGTCCCTTTGGCTTTAGGCCGATTGTGCGCGCTCCAGATGGCCCCAGCATGAACCCTGCAAACCCTGACCTTCTTTGCTGGAGCTGCAGATGGCGACTTCACGGAACGCCGCCGAAGAATGGGCCTCGTTCTCAGATTCAGGGTGACGACTTCAGTGTGTCTCGCCACGAGTGAGGCTGCATTGCTGCATGTTTCCGCAGGTCCGCTTTGCAGAACAGTCTGAAGGCCGTGTTTTACTGGTGGTTCTTCGACCATGTTCCAGAGCTGTGGCTGCAATCTCGCAAGGCTCGAATTGAAGATGTGGAGTTCCAGCCTCACGGAGAGTCTATGCAGTCTTTACCGGCAAGAAGTGTTTGAAGAATCGGCTGACCAAGGATTTCCCAGTGAATTGATGACTCATATGTGTTGTCTGGTGGATGTCTTGGACCCGCCAGAAAGCTGAGGCGTCAGCTCCTGGCTGCACGAGCCATCCGCGAGCGCGGCCAGAAAGAGGACCTTCAGATTTGTCCGGGTTCGTTGTCCATCCGTCGGCATGGTCCCACCCTTTGTATGTTCGTGATTGCCATCGTTTTCCGCGGATGTGCTTCTGCAACAGCGCAAACATTTTGTACCAGGGGGGCAGCGTGATGGCCGGAATTGCAGCGGCTGCTGTCTCAGCTGCCCGCACGGCATGCAGCCGCAAGCTCAGTCGCTGCCTGGAGAGGGTCGTGCAATATCCTACATTTTCTTCTTGTCAACAGCACCTGTCCTCAAGGCGAAGATCGCTTGGCGGAGCTTGAGGCAGGAATGGCACATGAGCGGAATTTGGACAACCAATAAAAGATCGGAGCCGAACGAAGAATTTTGCAAACCGGCTGCATACGACTGTCCAGGAAGACCTTCAAAGCACGAGGGATGTGAAAGCAGCTGCGGAGGTCGGACAGCGAGTGGTTGGACTCGCATGAGGCCCCACCTACCCTAACCCTCGAGCTAAGACGAAATTGCAGGCATTGATGAGCGAGATTGCCGCTCATGCAGGCAAACCGAGCGATTCTGCAGGCACAAGCTGTGTAGAGGTAACGTCTTTTCCGTGCATGCCATTCTGTGGGTTCAGCCAGGTGAACTGGCCGATGCCCTAGAGGCAGACAGGAGCCAAGAGGCACGGTGCGGGCAGGCGCGACTGTGCAAGTCCCTGCACGCCGACCCTTGAGAACACATCTTCGAGCGAAGGCGGCAGCCGATGGTCTTCAACAGCCTGGGCCTAACCCCAGCGAGGAGGCTTGCATATTGCTGCCGGTTCATGCGACGAGCTGTGTCTGGTACCTACTGGCACACAAGTCCCAGCCGTTTCTCCAGCAGAGACCATGTCTGATGCATGAGTTGGACGAGTTGTGTAGCTAGCAGCTAGCTGGGACGACTTACTTGGAACACGTCCCCGAAATGCCACCTTGGTTGGCCAGGCAGTGAGGAGTTTCACCGCTGAGTTGCTTGAAGCGTTGGCTGCATGCCGTATGGAAATGGAGCTGGTGAGGCGCGCTGCGGCTGGAGCCTTGTTGGTAATCTGCACAAATTGACAGGTTCCGAAGGCTTGCTAGTTTCTAGTCTAACACTCCGCCACCGCGACTTGCGATGCATTTCTGCGTGCGAGCATCTGCTCGGTTGATGCCGTGAAATGCAGTTCATCAAGCAGTTGACTGAAAGCTGGTCACACATCGTTGTGGAAATCCAGGGCGTGACACTCCTGACACTCAGGACAACAAGACTCTCCGGGGCTGATTTGCCAAACCGCACGCGCGCGCGCACACACACGCACTCACTCTGACTGCTGTCCAAGCGGAACTGGTTTTTTTGCATGATCTGTGAGGCCTGCGTGTGACTGAAGTTGATGCCGCAGCTTGCTGAGCTGTACCACATGCAGGCCGACTAGCGGTGCACATGCTTCGGCTAGATGCAGACCTGGGATGTTTGGACAGCACCGGACCCCGGACCGTTTTCACATGTTAACTTTAGCAGGTGTAAAGTCTAGTCCTAAGACATCCCAAGACTGTGTCCTGCCAGCTGTACGTAGGCCGACTTAATGACAAGGGGGTACCTCACTGTGCGATGTGATGTCTCGAAAGGAAGCTTGATGTTTCAAAAAGAAACCATATGCTTGAGAGCCATCAGTTCGCACCTTCGATGTGCTACCTTGATCTTCCACGGATCTTGCACATGTCCTGGCACCATCTGGGCTCGCCAGCTGGAGTAAAGCCTGTCCTTGTGGTGCCGAAGACTGCGCACACTGTAATCTTGAGTGGCTGCACCTCCGGATGTCCACATCCATGCCATCACCCGCAATCCATCTCCTGCTGCTGACGGGACATCCGACAGAAGTGCGAACTGCCAAGCACAGTGACTTGTTCAAGCTGGCCCGGCAGAATTGCCAAGGCCGGAAGAGTAAATGCCGGAGCAAGCCAACGCGTCAAACTGGTGGGGCTGCTGCGTCACAGTTAGGCTGCCCCTTGTGCATCCAGCCGGTAGTGACTTGCTCGAACCTCAACATAACCTGACCCCGCAGCTTTAAGGCCCAAGTTATATGAAGTGGGCCGCATTGTTTCGTGCAGTACCAGTGCTTTGGGAGGAAGCTGAAAGACTTGCAAGCTTGATCCGGAGTTGAGTGCCTCTGTTTGTTCCTTCTTAATAAACATGATTCAACAGCTTCTTGGCCTGGTCTTGTCACAGTCCGCCCGATGTTAAGCACGTGCTGCAGAAGAACCTGTGCAGGAGCATGTCCGCTCCGAATGCCCTGTGCCTAGCCGCGCTCAGACGCTATCGATGTTAAATCAAACAGGGTCCATTTCAAGCCGTTTTCGTGTGAGAAGGAAGTACAGGGTAGGCCCTCCTGGGTGCGGGACAGAAGGATTTGTAAGTGCTGAGGACGGACCTGATGGCTACAAGTTGTTCGTTGGAAGCCTACCCTCAGCCGATGCCTGAATGTTCTCGAGAGGTAACTCATCGTGTTGACTGCTGTGATGTAAACAGCGCATCCAAGGATTGCACATCAGAGGAGCTACATTCAGTGTTTTCAACTTACGGCATAGCATCTTGGCAGAGACCCGGACATCAGTGTGGAACTGTCTCCAGCAAGTCCTGCAGCTGACGAATCTGGTTGGGCTTTCGTTTCCATAGAATCCAGGAGAAGACGTCATTCATGTCACATTCCCGCTGCTTTGTCCGAGCTTCTGAGCGGATGTCGGTTGAGGTGCCCAACCAGAAATCCAAACGAAACCAATTCTCTTGTGTGGAAGTGAACACGTAGGCCAGCGGTTCGGCCTCCGTTGATTTGGTAGTGTGCCGCTGCAAGAGTTTTCAATTCTCTTCTTGCCTGGTGGCTTCTACTGACATTCCTCTCCTGCTGGATGCTGCCCGGGCTAGGTAAGCCATGTCCACGTGCCGCCGCCGCAGTTTGCTGGCATGTGCTGTAGAGTGTGTGCGATGCTCGCACTGTCGTGTAAATGTGCCGAACTGCCAGATGATGAATCCGCACCCCAGATCTGGCCAAAGGCTCTGCCCTGGCAATTGGAAGTAGATGTGTGCGAATTGCACTTTGGAGGTGTGCCTTCCTCTCTTATTCGACTAAATCTGCTGGCGACGATGCATGCAAAGCAGGGCCGCCCAGAAGGGCTGCGTGCACTTTCTTGTTTAAAGCCTGAGTCGGGTACAGGCTGCGCAACATGATTGTCGTACCGAGGTGCTGGACAACCAGTACAAGATAAGAAGAGATGCACCGCATCCAATTGTAGTTCGATGGGCCAAGGACAGACTGGCCCAACAGACTTACTTGGTTTATCGACCGACGTGTGCAGGATTCTGGCTACGAGCCGAATGGCGCAAAAGCAGCAGGCAAACGACGCAGTTCAGCGGAAAACATTCGTAGGAGCCAGTGGAAATGTAGCATCCCATTTAGCAAGCGGAACCGCGTTGCCGTACCTTGCTTTCAGGTGATTGGGAGAGCAGCGCATGCCTCAGTTCAGGTCAGGAAGGCGGCGTTTTGGTAGTTGCGTCGCGGTTGCAAGTTTCCAGTTCTGGATGCGCATGAGGCCAGCCAAAGAAGACGGAGGCATCTCCAGATGGCACGGGTCTCAAAGTATCGCCCCGCAATATCGGCCGCCTGTGACCAACCGTCAGGGGCAGTAATCGCTAAACTAAACCAGAGTTTTCAGCGGAGAGGTTCTTCCTGAAAGTCACGACTCTGCATGATTTTCGTCGGCAGCCTTTGCCGTTGTGCATGTTGGGCTGCGGAGCAGTTTTCTATGTGGACTGTCGTGCAGAGTGCAGTGGCGTTTGAATCATCACGACTAATCATTACCATGCTGGACGTGCCTTGTACGGATAGCTGTACTCTGTTCATGGCATCCTGCTCTGATTTCCAGACACCAAGTCGGCGCAACGAGGACCAGCAGACATGAATAACATGCTGGGGGAACCCGGTCAGAAGGATCAGGTGGTGTGCCATCGATCAACAGTGCCAGACAACAGTGCACACCAGATGCTGCCGCGAATGTCTTCGGAAGCCATGCAGGGCTTAGAAATTTACCAGTACCATGTAGAAAGGCAGACGCATGATCGCTGCTTCAGGGACCTGTTGTAATGCCTGCCTGGATCCTTGAGGATGCGTTGTGGAGTGTTGCTAAGGTGTGTAATTGCAGGTTCACATTTACAGTCGGCGGCTGGGGTTTGGACTTTGCAGAGGCTGAAAGCGCTGGAACAAACATGCTGCTTTTCGATTGACAATTGACTTTGACATACCAGCTCCTCAAGCTTCTCATACCGAAAGACGCATTGCTGTCACAAGCCTTCTTCTGCGGTTCTGTGCCAAACTCCTTTGTCACTGCCCGCGCAACCGAGTCACTGGCTGTCCGAGTCCGTGGAATACTGCCTTCGACCTGGGAGAATCTCTGGACCCAAATCTGATATTCTCCTATATTCTCCCAGCTTGACCGCTGTATTTCGGATCATGGCATGTGGAAAGAAGCCGCTGACAAGGTGACACAGCATTCTACCAAGATTCAACCCGGACCCCTGCATCATACTCGTAGTTGTTCGTGGAGCTCCTGGAGAGATGCATTGGAGAAGACCGAGGGTTGTCAGTGCTCTTAGTCTGCTCTACATCAATCCTCAATGAGTCGCAACGCAGTATGACTCGATGATTGCTGCTGGTGCGAAAATGGGTGTTGAAGCCACACTGGCGGATCTCATTTCCAACCATGAGTGCACGTATCGGCTTGGGAAAGCCGAGCATTGCAGGGATGTCATTCCGCTGTGATGGAGCGGCAGTGGTCAATCCCGTCTCGTGGCAGTTGCCTAGCACAGGTTCACAAAATCAGAACATGCATGACGGATGGTGGCATGATGTGGCATGTCATGGAAGCAGGGGCGACTGGCATGCGGTTCCGCGAGACCTAAGGTCACAAACTTTTTGTCGGTGGCCTTCCTCACGATGTTTCGGAAGAAGAGCTGAGAATAGTGCCCCTCAGCTGCAGCTGGAAGCCTGGAGAGGCAAGCCTGTGTCTGTCTCAAAGCTTTCTGAAAGGTTTGACACATATGGAGTTGTCCAGCCTGCAACTCAGCACTTCCGGTCTCATTCTTCCCGCATGAAGGGGGAAGTCGCAGCCCTTCGGCGACCTCTGCCGGTCTGTGGTGGCTTAGGCTGGTGCCTGACTTGGCTTTCGTCACTTCCTCCCCGTCCATCTCTTGCTTTCGCTTGGGAACTCATTGCGTCCGTTCTACGCAGCTGCTTGGTGCAGCCCTCCTTTTGCGGGGACTGCCCTCAGTGAGGTCCGATGGACGTGAAAAGTCTTCGCCATCATCATGTCTTGAATCATTGGCTGATGCCGTTCGTTGTAGTGCTCGTGAACTGATCTCAGTAGTTTTGTCTTCTTCGAGCGCGGGGAGCTCTGGTGCTTCGCTTTCTCATTCTCACCTTTCACTTTCGGACTCGGCTCTCGAGAAACAACATGGGCAGCGGTGATCACGGCATGCGTTGCCTGGCTCTGTTCGACTGCGTGCACAGGTTGCTCTTTGGCACATGCTTCCCATACAATATCGGGGGGAGGGCGCCTTGAGCGCAGGGGAAGGGGTCGCTCCCCATCTCTTTACCCTTGCGCGAGAGAGAGAGAGAGAGAGAGAGAGAGAGAGAGAGAGAGAGTAGCCATTTTGGCTCAAGTCTCGGGAACTGGGGGAACCCACCCCCCCTGGGCCGCCCGGGGCTTGAGCCATACGCCGACGCCATTTCCCAGACAAGCATGGCCCCTTGCCCCGTCCACAAGTCACCCGTGAAAGCCATGACTTGCTGCTCAACGAGCCTGCGCCGAAGGGGGCGAGAGGTAGGCCGACATGACAGCCGTGAAGACCACAAAAAGCGGTGAAGGCGATGAAACCCACAAAGAGAACACGACCGCAGCACGTACCCCAAATCCAAGTTAGAGTTCTTATTTGTGGACACCCGAAGGAATCGGGGAGGACTGCCGAGGTCCCTTGATGCGGTGTCGTGTACGGGCGCGCTCCTAAGCCAGGCGAATCCGAACCAAAGCCACCGCTGAGGTGAGGGTGAGCCTGGGGAGGGAGTTTGCGTAGCCCACTGCTGGGGGTAAGGCGAATCCGTGAGGTGGGCCCCACAGTTTGGCGGCAACTGAGGGGGATGCATGCCATACAACTCTACTCCGAGGTGTGCCAACTACCAACAACAGATTGGGGAGGCCGTGAATGATCGCATGTTTTTGGCCGCTGTTTTTGACTTACTCGGTATGCAGTGGAGCCCCAAATTCCGGGTTGCACAGCATGGAACAGACACCTCGCTCCGCCTTTGCTTTCTCACCACCCTCGAAGACCGGGAGAAGACCGACACCACACAGAGTCACGACTACGAACCCTTCTACAACCGCTGCACTGCCCACACCTTGAGTTCCGAGAACAAGAAGTACTGAGTTCACGGCGCCTGGAAAAGAACGGGGGCACACAATAGTGTTTTACGGCGGTACCCTTAAGTCGTGCCGTTGCTTCTGCAAGCCCTCGGAGGGGAGCCCTGTGATACTTGTACCGTGCTTGATTACTTTATTGCTTCCACAGAAACCCTCAACGACCTAGGTGACTTGGCAAAAGTGGGGGGTGCACTCCTCAACAGTACCGCGCCCACGGCTCCAAGTGACTCCGCAGAAGAACGTACACTTCGTGGTTACCCAAGCTTCGGACGCCCTCACCTGGTACAATGGTATTAGGTCACTTTTCTTCTGCAGGGGGAGTGAGCCTACAGAAGAGCGGGGGCGCACAACTTTGACTTTGCTGTACACAAGAGCGGTGTTGTCTCTGCAAGCCCTCGGAGGGGAGCCCTGTGATACTAATGCAGGGTACTTTGCAGTACTTTCTTCTTGTTGCTTCCACGGAACCCCTCAAAACCTAGGTGGCTGAGCACAGAAGGGGGGACTCTCTTCCACGAAACGTAGTGTACTAGCCAGCTGTAGCCGTGCTACCTCAGTTCTTCGTTTGCAGTGAGGAGAGTTGCTCCACAGAGGCCTTTGTATAGCCGAGCCCGAGGGGATTAAGTCCCTTTAGGAGCCCTTGAAAGCCTGTGACCCGCAGGTGCGCGTTCGCGCGCGAGGGTAGGTGTCCGCCTGCTCTCTGTCCTGGTAGAGAGAGAGAGAGAGGCCCACCCCAAAGACTGCCCACTTGGATCCACTTCGGCAACACATTTTGAAGAGATGGGGCCGAAAACACTCGTCGAGAATCAGGTCTTCAAGTCTACTGCAATGTCGGTCAAGACGTTCACCCGCTCCCAAAGCTCCACAAATAGCCGCGGGCTTGACGCCCGGCAGGATTCACTCGCCCCATGTGCCTGGGAAAAGAAGGCCAGAACCAGGGCGCGACATCGCAGAGCGTGAGGGAGGGAGGGAGGGAGGGAGGGAGGGAGGGAGGGAGGGAGGGAGTACTGCTGGCGGGTCATGTTCTATCCTGATCTCCTTTGCTGTTAACTCTTGCAGGGGGTGACAAGTGTGGCGACAGAGGATCTGCCTGCTCAGGCATTGCCACCTCATGGGCATTCATCCCAAATCCGGGCAGAGGCGGCACATGATCTGGAGCTGGAGCTGCTCTGAGGCGTGACGGTCGCTGGTTGCGTTTTGAATTCTGCTGGCAGGTGTGCTTTCGTGTACTACAAGACGCAGGAGTCCGCGCAGGACTGCTGCATTCGCGCATTCAAACTTGGCAATACTGGACAGCATTGAGAAACATGCATAGGGAAGAAGAGAATCTCTCCAGGACGCCATCAAGGTTTTAGACAAGATCTACAAGATCAGAGAAAATGCCCTCCACCCGATACAGGTCACCAGCTTGAGTCTTCTTCGAGTCTGACGAATAACATCATTGGGAGACACGCCTGTCGCCAACTGCTCACATCAGCGGTGCCATGCAGACTTGTGCAGGTCCGATGGGCGAACAAAGACAGCCTGAAGTCCGCTCTCGGCCACGAGCTCACTAGTGCAAGCTCGGTCAGCCCGTGATAGCCAGTCTCTCTCGCCAGGAGCATGCCCTGAACTTGCCCTTGCCTGCCGCATTCCCGCAGACCTGCAGGGGACATCAAGGGAGTCGGGAAGGGCGAGTGGCCTACAAGCCAACGACCAGACTGGGCAAATAGTTCCAACCTCAGTGGCTGTCTCACAGAAGGCTTACGCAGGCATCAGCATGCCAACCAGGCAAGTGTTGGGGAGTGGACAGTGCGAGCGTCCTGTCAGGCAAGGGTGATGAGTACTGGACCAAAGGCAGAAGTGACTACTACGGGAAAGGCTGTGGCCTTACCTGTGATTGACTCTTGTTTTGACATGCCGCCGTATCGTTGTAGAGGCGCTTGGATTGGCAAGGGCAAGGAGGGCAAGGAGAAGGTGCCTTTTGTTCGGGGTCTCTGTCGAGCTTTCAGACGGCTCCCCTCCGTCAGGGCAAGTCCTGGAGCAGCTGGGAGGCCGCTCTTGCGGAACCCAGCGGAACTCCCAGCAGAACCCCCCCTCCCCCCATCATCTCAGAGTCGCGGCAGGACACATCTGCTTGGAGCTCTTGGCCTAAGGGCAAGGTGGGGGCCGCCTGTGGTGAGTTTGTACGGGGCTTTTGCATAAGTGTGTTGAGAGAACCGTGGGACTCACGCGCTGTGCTTTCGCAAGCGTCTCATGGGCTTGTCGGAGGCAAAGGTTTCCTCGCTTTGTGTGTGTGTGTGCGTGTGTGTGTGTGTGTGTGTGTGTGTGGGCTGCTCCGGACCCGGGAAATCGACGATTCTGCGAGCGCTCGGCTACAAAACCAACACATAGCTTTTACTGCAGGTGGGTATCCTTACGGATTTGTCTCTGGTGGTTGCCACACACGGTCTGAACCGAGCAACGCAGGAAGCAGAATTGGGAAAAGGAAGTAACCAAGACATGTCCTATCGATGAACCGACGCACAGCTGCAGTACAATTAAGCCCCGGTTACAATGGCGACGGCTTGATGATCGGAGCCTTTTTGCTACAAATGTCGCATACTTTTCATGACCATGTTCAGAGCACTGTTTCTCTCTTTCTCTCTCTCTCTCTCGGATTGATTTGGCGGTTCGTCATGTCACAGTCGCCTCTTGCATGTTGCATTTGCAGGAGAAGGGGTGGTACGACTGGGGGAAAGGTTGGGACAAAGGAGGTGGCCATGGCCTTGGTTGCAACTACCGACGTCAACTTCTAAACTGTATTCCGCGCATTGGCTCCTTGACATTCCTTCGCTTAGGTTGGGGTGGAAGTTGGGATCGCAGCAAAGGCAGCTGGCAAGGCCACTTCAGGTTGTGCCTAGGTTCCCAGTGTCCTCTAGTCAGTGTGACCTGTATAGTTCCTACATGATCGAAGGCGGCACTCGCCAGAAACAGCGCAGATCATTTGCTTGACAAGGTGATGCCTGGCTAGATGATGGCTGGAGTCAGCTCCCATGCATACTGTGTTTTCTTTTGTCAGGTGTGACCTGCAGTTGTGCATCTTTGCCTAGTTCGCAAACACCCCGCAGTACCACAAAAGAACATGAGCAACGTGCGCACATTGCGAGGTCATCACAACGGCCATGGTAAAGGGAGAGATGGAGCCTGGAAAGGAGTCGGGCTCGGCCTTCCACAACTTCCCACAATCTCGGTAGACTCGCATGGCCGACGAGAAGTTGTTCACATGAAATGACATATCTGAGGCACCCGGGAAGAGCCCAGCCCGCGCCTGATGACATGTTTTGTGAGCTTCAGGGGCAACGCCTGCAAAGCTTCAAAAGCACTTTTAATGTCAACTTATGTTCATCCAGCCCCAATGTTGGAAATGGACATGTTTGGGGGGAGGAGCCCCACTCCGCACTAGCAGCTTCCTCAGCTGTTTTCCTTCACGGGGCTGTAAATGAATCGGGCTCAGTGGATGCACGAGCACAGCGGGATCGGTGGACAAATGCGACGAGTTCTGAGTGCTCAGGATTAGACCCTACAGGCACCAAGCTGTACGTAGCCAACCTCCCGGAAGACATCCAGGACCTCTCTCTGCCGGTTCTGTTGACACTGCTTTCGTTGCACAGGTCGTGGTGTGAGCCACTGGTCCCATAGAAAAATGATTTCTAGCATAGTAGTGCTTGTGACCGCAAAATCTCCTTGCAGATGAGGTGGCATCACGACTAGCAAGACTCGCAGCACCAAGTTTCATGATATTCCCAACGGCGACTGCCGGTCCAGCACGAAATTTGCTCCAGCAAGCGGAGGCAAGCGGAGCTTAGCACGACTCCGTGAAGTGTTGCTCCAATGACAGGCACTTGGTGGCCCCACATCGATGTATATACCACGATGAAAGCAACGCGACACACGCGCATCGCATTGTTTGGAGGAAAATTTGTTGCTGTAGTTCACAGGAGAGCGCGATCGAGTATGTTTTTGGCACTTATGGTACGGACGCGGCCTCAGATCCGGCTTCTCAGAAATGAAACACATCATGCAGTCATGCAGTCCCAGCTTGAGTACTGGAGATTGGGCTTCGAGGTCGAGAAAGTGCATCTCATGACCGGCAAGGTGAAGCAAGGAAGTGACAGCCCCAGCGATGCACTTTCGCATCTTGTGTGTCAGTCACAACAGCTCCGGCGCTCCTGGGTCCTGGCTCTTGCATCCACCTAAATCACAGACGTTGCAGCAGATAGCGAGTGTGTTCGGTCTAATGGCATGGGCTTGCGATGTGGTCTAAACATTGTCTCAACTGTTCGGATCCGCAAAGCCTGGCAGAGCAGAGCTTGCATACATTGGCAGCGATGTCTTCTGCTTGCATTTTTCCGAGGTATATCGGCCTTTGTGGAGTACGGTGACTCCGAGGAGGCCTGGCATCTCCTGCGACTTGTGGAGAAAACAAATCCGCACGTTCTGAACTAAGCCGGCGCTCTACAATTAGATTGATGGGTCTGGGTGTCACCGGCGCAGGCAAGCACCGCGATTATGTCCTTGGACAACAAGCACCTCGATGGAGTACGTTGTGTTGCGTCCTGCACGGGATATGTAGAAACAGGTTCGGTGATGTTGACGGCCCCTGGAACACACGGCATCAGGTACGAAATTAGAAAAGGGTACGGGCAGGGACCTCAGCAAAGAAGCAGCAGATGCATAGGCTGTAGGCAAGGACCCGTGTCTTGCGTGTCTCAAATAGTTTACACAACGTGTCTTGCAGGCCTCTCCAGGTCCGGCTAGCCAATGCTTCAGCCTCATCCGGCAAGGGCAAGTCTTATCGCGCGCGCCCAGGCGGCATTCAGAGATCACTTCAGATGCAGGTGTGTTCAGCCATATTAGGATCTTGACGACGTCGCAAACATTGTCACGTCCGGCAACAAGTCGAGCGAAGTGGGGCGAGTAGGATCAGAACGCGTTCCTGCGATGATGCTAGCTGTGCCAATGCCATGGCCGGATGCCAAGGTGACGGAGCAAAGCTTTGCAAGCTCCGTGACTCTCTGACTTTCCCTCTACGCGGCTGAAGAAAGTGCAATATGTCCATGTGCAGACATTCATCGCTCCTTGCTCTGTTGTGTCTAAGCCTTCGAGCACTAATCCTGACTCAAGATTTTGCAAACGTAACAAGCAGAGGCTAAAAAGGGTACCTGCCACATCCGTGGTCCCATGCAGTGCCAGAAAATCCAGCTCCTGCCGAAGCTCTCAGACAGCCGAGATAAAGTGACCAGTTAGAACGTCTAAAAGCGCGGGACAACAACCACCTGATTTGTTCAGTAGCGAGCCTCCGAGATGATTTGTTTTCATTTCTGAGAGCTTGGCGCAGATTATTTCCGATGTGTCACTCTGAGACGCGTAGTGGATCCCATGCAGTAGTTGCCGCGGAAACGTATTAAAAGCCGAGTATTCATCTCAGGGGAGAAACGCCGGAGCAGGCAGACAATGAGAGTGTGAGAGTCAAAAATAGCGTAAGCAACGAAGCCGGATGCACAAGAGGGTGGGTTGGCCAAGAAGCGAGTCACTGCGGCGAGATGCACAGGCTGCTTGGTAAAATTGCATGGGTCTCTAGCGCGGTGTCACCCGCCATCTAGGCAAGGGGAGTATGTGCCCTCATGCGCATCTCCAGCGATTTGCATCGCTCGGTGCAGAAGCCAGGGCAGAAAAGACAGCTTTCGCATTTGCGATACTCGTACGATGAGATGAAGGCATCTTTGTTGCGGTTGTAATCGTAGGGGGTAAGTTGTGATGAAGGTCGAGTTCAGAACACAGGTTTACGGTGGTCTTGTTCACACAGCCGGGGTAGCATCGGTTACTAATACTACTTTGGCCCATGGATGGTTCGTCCAAGATGGTTGAGGGCGAAGTCGGCTGTGACCGAAATCTGCAAGTAGATCAGGTAAACTTGGCATTGTCGCACCATACAAGACGCTGCGGTTTGAATAGCTGTGGGTCGATGCATGCACCTTGGCGTGCTAGGGGGTCCAAGACAAGAGTTTGCTTGTGGTTTGCAAGGAGCCTGTCGCGGATGTGCTGCAAACCAATCCTGTCCCAATGCTACCAAGAGGCCGAAGCCGTGTTTCACCAAATGACGAGGTTAGGAGAATGTAGTTCGGAGTCGCCGCGCCCGGCTGCTCCAGAGGCTGCTCAGCTCGCGTTTCTTGTGCCATGCTTGAGTTGATAGAGTGGGCTGACTTGCTTTGAGCTGCCGAAGGTTCAGCCTCACTGCCATGAGGTGGCGAGGGCCGCCCCAATTCTTTGTCAAAGCGTCCTTGTGCTCGCAATAGGAGTTTGAGAGCAGAATGCTGCACACTTTAGTCATCTGGGGTGTCGAATCTCGAGGCTTCTCGTTCTCTTGGTCTTGCGCTGGCCGACTGCGATTGCTGAAACTACAGTGAATGGTTGCGCCTCGGCATGCCTCGGCTTTTACTACCTGGGCATGAAAGCTTTGCAGCAGCAAGTGCACCCAGCCAGTTTCAACAGATGCATTGTGAAGCCGTCTAGATACGCTACAAGTTGCAGCTCACGAAAGCAAGCGTTTCGGGCATGGTTGCACAGGAATTTGCGAATTTGCTGGCTCATTCGGGGACAAGAAACCGCCTGGATAACATCCCCAAGGCATGTGAAGTTGCGAGCTTAGCCCAGCCCAGCCCAGCCCAGCCCAGCCCAGCCCAGCCCAGCCCAGCCCAGCCCAGCCCAGCCCAGCCCAGCCCAGCCCAGCCCAGCCCAGCCCAGCCCAGCCCAGCAGCCAGCCCAGCAGCCAGCCCAGCAGCCAGCCCAGCCCAGCCCCCGATCGGGAAAGGCAAAGCATCCTGCCAGAGCGAGCGAATAAAGATTGCGGGGCTTTGGTACAGAATACCACGTTGCGTGCGTGCTGGCTGCATCGAAACGCCTGAGCTTGTTGCCAGACATGACCGTTGTGACTTGCATGCCTTTGTTCGGACTGCCGGACTGCAACCCAAGCGAGCTGTTGCGTCTAACACTGCTTGGGGATCAAGGTCTCTGCAAAGAATCCTGGAGATGCTAAGCTGCACTTGATGTGAGGAATGCTGTTCACGATCTTTCAAAGCTCTGCTGAGGTTTTGGTGGCCCCTGGGCTGCAAGAGGTGGTTTTGAAACCAGTAGTGTCGGTAGTGGAAACCTGGGACCCTGGATGGCCCTGCATGTCCGCAGCACCAACTGAGGCTTCTTCGTAGGGTTATGGCTGTGAAATGGAGTCCGGAAGGTAAGTCCCACGAAGCCAAGCTGATGATAATCCCGGAGTTGCAGAAGGTCAAGAGGCAAAACAAAAACAAGCATCTTGCACATTTCGCTGGCCCGAAGTCTTCGAAGGCCTTTGAGGTCAAACCGGGATCAGATACATGCATGCGCATTGGTGTGGCCCGTAGAGCACGGCAAGAATTTTCTACGTGGACCAAGGTGACCACTGTTCGAGCTACTGTTGCAATCCTGACGCTTTGCTGAACTGCGGATGTTGCGCACTCACTCATGTTTCCTGCACAGAAGTTTGCTGCCGACAGTCGCAGTCAAGCTTGAGCTAGAGTCAGCCAGAGCCCCCCGTGAATTCTCCATCGCAGTCGGCATTGCACATCCAGTTCGCAATCCAGCAGCAATGCCTTGCAAAAGGACAGCGACCCCGGCGGAGAATGGTGCTTCGTGATAGACCAGACGTGCGAAGGTGATACATACGGTTACTGCCGGACAACCACGACAAGTCAGATCTGTGGTCGCACGCCAGGGGGCGAGGGTTCTTCCTTCGGTTCCTTGTTTGGTGACGTCAGGACCATATCACGAGTGCTGAAGGTGATCCTGTGAGGGGTCAGAGCCGGCGAGTGCACAGACTCGGACAAAAACAGAGTTCCGATAACAAACATATCCACTCTCAGGTCGCTGACATCGACAAGTACTACTACAAAGACCACAACGACGGAGACAATCAGCTCTACACCATCAACAACCACGAGTTCCACGACCATTTCTGGCATCAGAACAACAAGCAGTATCACAGCCACCGCCACTTCTACTACTTCTACTGGAACCGCCAGCTCTAGCACCAGCACCACCATTACTCCGTGCACATCCACAAGCAGCAGCACTACCACAACCACCACCAGAGCTTCCTCCACTGCCAGCACGTCCGGCACCAAGACAGCTAGCTTGACCAGCAGCACCACCGGCACCGGCACCGGCACCAGCACCAGCAGCAGTACCATTGCCACAAGCAGCACCAGCAGTGGCACC